CCCGGGAGGCAGAGGTTGCAGTGAGCCAAGATCGCACCACTGCACTTCAGCCTGGGCAATAGAGTGAGATTCTCAAAAAAAAGTCTTGATATGTTGCCCAGGCTGCAGTGCAGTGTCTATTCATAGGCTCAGTCACAGTGCACTATAGCTTTGAACTCCTGGCAGAAGTGATCCTCTTGCTTCAGCCTCCTGAGTAACTGGGACTGCAGGCAAATGCCATCACACTCAGCTATGGAGTTAGGTTTTCATTGTCCCTCAATGCCAAGACTTATGTGTCCCAGGTTGTTGTCTAGTACTACATTGGAGAGAATGACTCGTGACTAAGAGTCAGTGGCAAAACCATTTTATTAAAGAAGGTTTGGAGGAAGTGACTCTCAGGTTAAATCCACCTGGAGTCCATTGCTAAGTTTCTGTGTGTTCCACAGGTGTTGTCTATCATCTCAAAGTGCTGGACCAGCATTATTCTGTAAGGAGCTGTATATCTGCAGAAATTTGACAGGCAACAGCTACAAAGTTTAAAAAAGAAAATACTAGGTAAAATTAATAGTAATATGATAATCCCAGTTTGCATAACAGTTTTAAGCCATGAACTTAGGCTTAAAGGCAACCAGCAACCAACTGAATAAATCAAATGGCCATGGGAAATTGGATGAGACCTGTTTTTTATTTTTTGGTTTTTTGTTGTTGTTGAGACAGAGTCTCACTCTGTCGCCGACTGGAGGGCAGTGGCGTGATCTTGGCTCACTGCAACCTCTGCCTCCCAGGTTCAAGGGATTCTTCTGCCTCATCCTCCTGAGTACCTGGAATTACAGGCGCCTGCCACCTTGCCCAGCTAAATTTTGTATTTTTCGTAGAGATGGGGTTTCACCATGTTGGCTAGGCTGGTCTTGAACTCCTGACCTCAGGTAATCTGCCTGCCTCAGCCTCCCAAACTGCTGGGATTACAGGCCTGAGACACAACATCCGGCCACAGAATTCTGGAAATTTTTACTAGAGCCATTGATTCTTAATGTTATCAGAAACGTATATCAAGAGCATTTGCTAGAGTCTTTCCATCAATCTTATTACAGATGCTTTTATTTATTTATTTATTTATTTTATTTTAAATAGAGACAGGGTCTTGACATGTTGCTCAGGCTGACCTTGAACCTGTGGCCGCAAGTGATTCTCCTGCCTCAGCCTCCCAAACAAAGTACTGGCATTACAGGCATGAGCCACCACACCCAGCATGAATGCAGATGCTTTTAGAGAAAAATCAAAATTGTGGATGACAGAGACTTTGAATAACCACGGTGAAAAATCTGATAAAAGTTTAGCAAATTACAAGGAAATTCAGTTATTTCTATTTCATATATCATTTTAAAATAACAACCAGAATCATGACTGACAGCATCACATCAGGATCATCAGACTTTCAGAAATTTTAATAATCTTCAGAATGGTCACAGTGTTAATATATAGAATATCAATATCATATTCATATAAATATAACTTTAACAAAGATTTAGCATCATTTATTGACAATGCCTCCCTTATAATTTAATACATCAAACAAGCCTAATTATTAACATCTCTACC